TTCTGTTCTATTCTTTCCTATTCCATTCTATTTCCTATTCTATTCTCTCCTTCCCTTCCCATCCCTATTCCACTCCATTCATTTCTATGTCTGCTCTCTATTCTATCCTATTCTGTTTTATTCCTCCCTGTTCCATTCCACTCTATTTTCTATTCCATCCTCTCCCCTCCCCTCCCTCCTCATCCATCCCATTCATTTCTATTTCTATTTCTGCTCCCTTCTCTCGTCCTTCCATGGGGGGACCTCGCTTCCTCCGCACGTGCCGATGGCGCGCAACAGGCTCCGGCCAAAAAAGGGCTCCGCGCGTCGAGCAAGCCGGCTCGGCCGGGACAAGCATCGCTCGGAGCCCCCAAGGCGGGGGTGGGGAGGGGGTTGTCCACCCACCCCCACCCCCCTACCCACCCCGGTCAGCGGCGTTCCTCCAGCGGCCTCCCTCCAGCCCTCTTCCCGCCTCCCTCGCTCCAGGGGCGGAGACGGCCTCGCCGGCCACCGCCCCGGAACTTGCCGAGCGCCGAGCGGGAGAAGGACGGCCAGCCAAGCGGGGTGGAGGAGGAGGAGGAGGAGAGGAGAAGGCGGCGGCGGGGGCTGCGGCGGCGGCGCCCCTTCCCCTCGCTCGCGTCTCGCCAGCCCCGCTTCGCCCGAGAGCCGCCCCGCCGGCCTTGCAGGAGCCTCTCGCTCGCTCTCTTTCCGGGCAGCCGGTCCGGGCGCCGCCGCGGCTTCCCCCGCTTGGAGCGCGCTGCTCGATTCCCCGCCCGGGCACGGATGCGCGGAGGAAAGCCGAGCTAAGAAGCGCGGGGAGGGGGGGGAGGAGGAGGAGGAGGAGGCTGCTGGGCGGACGCGGAAGAGGACTTGGGGGATCTAGAGGAATCCTGCAGCTCCTTCCTTTCCTCCCCCACCCCCACCCCCCAAAAAGCGGGGCCTGGGGGAGACTTTCGGTGCCGGATCTTGGCCCCGGTTTGGGGGGGGGGCGCTTCCCTCTGAAGTGGCCGCCTCCTCCTCCTCCTCCTAAGCCTCCCGGGAGAGACGGTTTCGCAGCCGAAAAGCGGGCGCCGGGCTCTTGGGTTTGCTCTCGCCCACCCGTGGCCCGTGGAGCCCTGCAAGGTAGGCTGGATCTGAGTGTGGGCTGGAAACGCACCTCCTCCCAAAGGAAGGCCGGGCCCGAGGCTGAGCCCTTGTCTCCTCGGCTTGCCTTCCGCGGGGCAGGTGAGAGGGCTGGCAAAGGAGCAAAAGAGGAGCCAAGGGAGAGAGAGAGAGTGTAAGTTTTGAAGAGGGTGAGGGTCAAAGGGGTTGCATGATTTTTAATAAAGTTTGTGTGTGTGTGTGTAAGTTTTGAAGAGGGTGAGGGTCAAAGGGATT